GAATGAGGGAGGGAGGAAGGAAATGGGAATGAGAGAAAGGGAGGGAGGAGGGAAGGAAGAAGAAAGGAAGAAAATGGGAATGAGGAAGGAAGGAAGGAAGGAAGGAAGGAAGGAAGGAAGGAAGGAAGGAAGGAAGGAAGGACCTGCAATCCAGAGATCATCCTTTTAGCCTCTTCCATTTCTTTCTCTAAGTGATCCTGCTGCTCCAGGAGGTGCTCTTCCCACGAAGTCTCCAGACTTGGGGCAGGGCACTTTGGGGACCATTCAATGGGCAACCGAGCCCCATTTTCTTCTAAGTGGGAAACAACATATCTGTGGTCTAACTCTGGAAACGCGTGGCTCCAGGTCTCTGAAGGGGAAGAACAGGAAGGCAAAGGCAAAGAGAGAGAGAGAAATAAACTAGATTTCTGCTTCAGTCCTTAAATATCTTTATTTTCATTTATATTCATTTTAAAGCCCTCTACCTTCATTCCTCCACAGTGTTTCTCCACCTTGGCAACTTGAAGAGGTGTGGACTTCAACTCCCAGAATTCCTGGAATTGAAGTCCACGTGTCTTGAAGTTGCCGAGGTTGAAAAACCCCACTCTGTCATATTTGCTTTATTACCAACGTCCCAATCTCTTTCCCCTGTCCCTTTTTCTCTTTAAAATACACAGAGGCTCCAACTGTGGTATCACATTAGTAAAATGTACTATGTTATTAAAACATAAATTAGTAAATTGGCTACCTATACCAGGGGTAGGCAACCTTGGCTCTTTTATGACTCGTGGACTTCAACTCCCAGAATTCCTGAGCCAGCCATGCTGAGGGGAAAGGGAGAGGTTTCCAAGCTGAGCCAGGCTGGCTCAGGAATTCTGGAAGTCCACCAGTCATAAAAGAGCCAAGGTTGTCTACCCCTGACCTATACCATGCACAGATGATTAGACATTTGGCTTGATCTCAGAGACATAATAAAAAAAAAAACCACTGCAGAAAATATTTACAAAACAGCTGAACACATCTTTAGATGATTTCAAGTTAGGAAAACATACAACACGACATTCCCAAGTGTCCACCAGCCTAGGTTGGCCCAGCTTTAGCAGCTGATAGAAGAATTTGCACCATCCTTAATATATTAAATATATATTTTAAATAGAAATCATCACCCTGATCATTATTTTTTGGTTTCTTGGGGGGGGGGGAAACACATCTGTTCCACAGCAGACCTCTCCATTTGTTGCAGACGCCTTCAGATCCAGTTCCAATAAATGCTCTCGCTAGTGACATGATCTGTTTTTAAAAGCAGGCTGCCAAATCAAGGAAGGACCCCTTTTCAATAAGGCTCAGCAGTTTTAAACGGATGGCCTTGTTCAGCCAGTCAACATCCTTACCCAAAGCAAGAAACAGCATCAGAAAACACGATAGAAAAGTCATCATGGGGGACGAATGGATTAATTAGTGTTTATATGATCTTTATATGCTTTTTTTGTTTTTTATATTATTTTTCTGACTGTTAGTAGCCATCCCCCCATATTGGAGATGGGCAGCCACATAAATTTAAATGATAGATAGATAGATAGATAGATAGATAGATAGATAGATAGATAGATAGATAGACAGACAGACAGACAGACAGACAGACAGACAGACAGACAGACAGACAGACAGACAGACAGACAGACAGACAGACAGACAGAGACAGAGACAGAGACATGCATGGATGGATGGATGGACAGACAGATTTAACTCTCAAATTTCTAGGTAGGAAGATCCTTTCCCTTACCTGTCCTTATTCCTGCTTTTTCTTCTCCATCTTCTTCTTCGTGGCCAAGGTCAAACCCTGCCTTGTCCTCGGAAGGGGTGCTGCCTGATTCACTCTTTGCACTGTTGATAGGGCTTGGAGAGGTGAGGCTGTGGGCAGATGCACAAAACAGACAGTTACATGAGGACAGGTACCAATTCTGCTTGAATATATCACTTTCCTGGACCTGAAATCATACCATCCTGCCCAAAAAAAAGCTCAGTTAAGATTAAGAACGCCCCCCCCCCGTCAACAGGTCCATCCAATACAGTCAGGAAGACCCCTCTTCAACCCAGGAGGGGGCAGTCCTCAAGTGACCTTGAATGGACTCTAGTTTCTCAACCTTGGCAACCTGAAGATGGTTGGACTTCAACTCCCAGAATTCCCCAGCCAGCATGGGAATGTCTTTAATAATGGGTCAAGGCAGTCTGACGTTCAAGGACCCAGGAAGGGTTCCAAGAGGATCATCTTCCGAGAGATCCTTCTGCCCCCTTCCAAGGGTCTCAGACCTGTCAGTCAAGCCCCCTCCTCCCATGCACACCCTTTGCTGGTCTTACCTCTACTTTCATTGTACGGGGGGGGGAGCAAAGGGAGAGAGAGAGAGAGAGAAAGGAGGGGGACAAGGACAATATTTTCCGGGGGCTTACTCTAGAGGGCCAACCCACCATGAACCCCTCTTCCCCACCCTAGGATTCTCCGAGCCGGCATCTCCCAGACAACAGGGAAAGGCATCCAAAGGCATTGACCCATTTAATGCATCCCCAAAGAATTCCTCCTTGCGAGTGTGAGCAAGAGTTAATGTACCATTTTCCCAGACAGAGAAACAAAGATGCCCCGAACAAAAGGGAAATAAAGGAGAGAAAAAGGGATTAACCAAACGAAAGAGATGAGAAACAAAGATGGGAGACACTTTCCCAGCTCACTTTTCCTGCTCTTCCCGAGAGGGTCGAGTCAGCTCCCACGACTGAGCCTGAGAGGGTGTCTGCATTATGTGGGCCTCCTAGCGCACAGTAGGACAATATACAAAGCATCTCACCATTGGGGGTGACGAAGAGGATGGCCGGTTTTTGGGACACCCCATTCTAAATGAAAAAGCGACGTGCTTTTCCGGGTTCATACCCCGTAATTCAGAAAGTTATCTCTTTTACAGCTCAAGCAATTCCAGTGAATTACACCTAGTTTCTCACACTGGCAGTATGCCACACCACATTCTTGAACTCTACACACCAATCCCTGGAAATCCCCCTTGCTGAAGGCTGGCATCCTCAGTGCAACAGGAACCAGGAAGCTGAGGGTACAGACACCCCCCCTTTTTAATCTTAGGGATTCTCAAAAGTACAGCTGACACCCAGGTAAATGGGACCTCCTCATAAAGTAGGTTTATTCTAAACTAATTTATAATTTAAACTAATCAAGGAGAGAAGCAACCTGGAATTAAGGAGAAACTTCCTGACAGTGAGGACAATCAACCAGTGGAACAGAAGTTGCCTCCAGAAGTTGTGGGTGCTCCATCACTGGAGGTTTTCAAGAAAAGACTGGACAGCCAGTTGTCTGAAATTGTATAGGGTCTCCTGCTTGAGCAGGGGGTTGGACTAGCAGACCTCCAAGGTCCCTTCCAGCTCTATTCCGATTAATGCTAGGAGAGGCAAACACCTTGAAGATTTTGTTTCTGCAACAATGCCATAGCAATGTGCCTCTGTCTAAGAGGAAACAGATTTTTAAAAGGTTGCAAAAGGCCACCAGTCTCCCCCTCCCTGCATGGTTCTGCATTAACAAGGGAAGAAATGATCCCGTTTTATATGCAGGCTTCACTTCTGCCCAACCGTCTGCCTTCTCTTGAAGCCACAGCAATCCAGCTTCCAGCAGGTGACAATAAAGCCAAAGGTCCCTGGAGGCAGCTGATGACCAGGAGTCCTCAAAAGGCAGGACCGGCGTCGTACACCCACAGAAAATCCCCTTCTCCTCCGTGGGGAGCAAAGTATGGTCCCACACAGATCCTTCGAGAGAATTCCCAACAACGCTTCAACACACATTCGCCACAAGAGTAGAGAAGCACCTGCAGGTGCCACCTTACCAGATCCCACTTCCAGTCCTTTTGACCGTACCACCACTGACCACCAACAACCCCAAAGCCCCCATCTGAGGCTCAAACCCTTCCACACATCCATCTCCACTCATCAGGCCACCAAACTGCCATGGAGAAGGCAAAGCCAGGGTCCTCACATCAGTCTCTCAATGGGGAGGGGGGAGAGAGGCAAGAAGCTTTTGCAATTTATATCTTGGGGAGGGGGGGGGAAGAGAAGAAAACTAATTCATCATCCTGTGCTAAAACTGCCGAGAAAGCAAAAAAGCCCAAACCCATTTCAGCACGATTTATGGCCTAAGGAACTGCCTGGCTTAATTCCTTGCTGGGGGGGGCTGTACCCAAGCGGGGTCAAAGCAGAGTGGAGCTCAGCTCCTGAATTTTAAAAGCAGTCCAGAAAAGCAAGTCAGGGAGGACCACCGAGCCCCCTGGGCGATTTTCACAAGGGACCTGCTTCATCATGGACCCCTGCAGTCTGTTCTCCCCCCCCCCCCCGCATGAAAGCAGCCGTGCCGAGGGAGGGCTCACCATTTCACCGGCTTCCCTCCCATGTTCCGATTTTGGCTCTGCCCCAGAGCCCGTCTCCTGGCCAGCCTCGGTCTTCACATGCCACATCCCTCCACCAGCCTGGCCCTTCTGCGCCAGGGAGGCTGGCCAAGCGGAGGCAGAAACCTTGCCCAGGTCGGTCGAGAGCTGGGAACAGAGACGTGGCGAGCAGGAGAAATGCCGGAGTCCCGCTTCTTCGGAAGGCGCTGGAAATCAAGGCGTCCCCGAGGCAGCAGCCCTGTTTTTCAGCTCAGCCAGGACGATGTTGTTTGTTTTGCACTGTTGCGCTGCGGGTCTGACGCATGTCCAAATTCCTTTTGGCAGCCCCAGAGAGCCGTCTGGGTCTCCTTCTCCTCATCCCATCCGGGGCAGCCGATTCCCTTCTCAGCCGCTGCTCGGAAGAGCCCAAATTAAGGTGAAGAATTCCTTGGATGGAGGCCGGGTGGCTCGCGTAGGGTGGCAGGGAGCCAGCCCCCCCCCCCCAATGTGGGAATGCACACACCCACAAGAAAGTGTGTGTGTGTGTGTGTCTATGTGTGTGTCGCTTCAGGCTTCGCTCTCTGCAGCACTCCTGCCTGCTGTCACTGGGGCTCTGCGAGGCAGCGGCGTTTTCCTTGAGTTGTCTAAGCCATGGATGATGGGGGGGGAAGGAGGGGTGAGGGGGGGAAGGAAGGGAGCTGCCTGGGAAAAGCAGCAGGATTTGGCCAGGGCTCCTGTGAGTCACTCAGGACCGCTGCCTCCCCTTCCCTGGAAGGTTAACACACCAACAAAACATTTCAAAGCATCCCTATGGAATAGCGGGATATGGGGAGCGATGCCCTGCGTGGGAACGCGTCCCCCCCTGTGTTCCTGAGGTGCTAAGGATTTTTGCTCTGCGTCTCCTCCCCTGGTGGGGCGGGGTAGCAGAGCCAAGCCCCTGCACCATGCAAACAGACGGAGCCCCTTCTGCCTGTCAGACCCGCCCTTTCCAGCCCCTCATTTGCCAGAGTTGGGCTGTTTCCTCCTGGGGGGAGGAGAAAGACGGGACCATTTGGGAGACCAGGAAGTGCGGCGGCTTCCTTCTGCAGAGGCACGCCGACCTGTTGTGTGGCATCAACCCACACCGCATGCGAACAGAACGGCGATGCGCGATGCAAAGCAGCCTCGGCTGCAAGAATGGGCTTCTGTGGACCCTCCCCATCCCAGACTCCCCCTTAATCCGTGCTTGGGGAGGAGCTGCCCCCAAGTGGTCCGAGTCCCAATGAGATGCCCTGTCCATGTTTTGCAGCTGGATCAAGCCAGGCTCTGAGCTGGGAGGAATGAAAGGCTGCTGTGCCTGGCAGTCATGCTCCCTTCCTCATTCAGCCCTGGCAGCTGCCTGCACTGGGTCCTTGCTGAGCTACCCACCACACACAACGCGCACCCCCGCAACAAAAAATCCCAAAGAGCTACAGCTGGGCCAGACCAAGAGAAATGCCCCTGCCTCTCAAGGCGAAGGGAGGTGAAAAGAGAGACAGTCCGAAGAAACCTGAATCTTGCCATCCAAATGATTTTATGGTGATTGATATTGGGAGGAGGGGGGAGGAGGAGGAAGAGAAAATGAAGAGGAAGAGAAAGAGGAGAGGAGGAGGAGGAGGAGATTTTGATAATAATAAATAGTAGTCCTCAACTTACAACGACAATTGTCTGAATTTTAATCACGTGACCGTGGGGATGCTGCGATGGTCGTAAGTGTGAAAAACGGTCATAAATCAATTTTTTCAGTGCTGTTGTAACTTCAAACGGTCACTTAAGGATCTGTTGTAAGTTGAGGATGCCTGTACTTCTAACCAAGAAATCTATAAATGGCAGGTACGTGGCCGCCTTTTCCCACTGCTGCACTAAGTCCAGAGGCAGGTTAATCCTGCGGAGGGGAAACTGGGAAGGGCGGATTATAAGGGACAGATCCTGCCTAGGCGCTCCCAAGCCACCAGGAGATTTACACTAAGCTCATAAAGTTCCTTCTGGAATTCCTCCTTCACACTCCCCAGACACAGACACAACCCTACACAATGGTCAATCTTCTCTGTCCGGCAAAGGATTTACAAACAAGGCTCATTTCACAATTCTTGGGGATGGACTCCATGGCATTGGACCTGGCTATCTCCGAGACCACCTTCTGCCACAGATTCCGCTCCCACAGAGTGGGCCTCCTCAGGGTGCCGTCGGCCAAGCAATGTCGGCTGGCGACCCCCAGGGGGAGGGCCTTCTCTGTGGGTGCCCCCACCCTCTGGAACGAGCTACCCCCCGAGATCCGGACGATTCCGGATCTCCTTACTTTCCGCCGCGCCCTCAAGACATGGCTTTTTCAGCAAGCGGGCCTGGCCTAGGGAGGATTTTAAATCGGGTTTTTTAAGAATAATTTTAACTGCACAACTTTAAATATTGGTTTAATTTGGTTTTATCTGGTTGGGGGTTGTAAATATGTCTATGTTTTTAAATATGTTGTGAGCCGCCCTGAGTCCCGTTGGGAGAAGGGCGGGATATAAATCAAAATAAATAAATAAATAAATAAATAAATAAATAAATAAATAAATAAATAAATAAATAAAAACGGAAACACCCCGAAAGAGCCGAGGTGGGGGACAGAGAGAACCCACCGACTCCTTTGCAATGGACGCAAAGCAGCAGCAGCAGCAGAGATGTCCCTGGGATGCTGGCAGAGTTTAGGAGAGAAACATAGGAAGGGCAGAGCTGCCAATTAGAGCAGCCGAGCGACCGGCGGGGGGCAAATTGTAATTCTTCAACCTGGAGGGGAGCCAGGGCGCTGGACCACTCCTTTTAATTCCCGTGAAATGCTGTTTTTAATGAGCTCCTGCGCAGGGAACAGCCTCTCTGTCCCCTCTGAAGGGGATGGCTGTCAAGGCAGCCTCGCTTCAGCCTAGGGCTCCTAAATGAAGGCCAGGAGCAAAACACAAGTATTTGGGCAAAGCATCCCCACACCACTGGGTGGAAGGTATTTTCCAAGGGCTTACGGAGAGCCCAACGTGGCTTCTTTCCAGCCTCTCCATGAACTGAGAAGCTGATATTGCCAAGCCGGGCTAGAAAAGTCCTTGTTTTGCACAGGTATTAATCCACTTGATCTCCCGGAAGATTTTAAAGGATAACCATCTTAAATGTGCAGTCCATTTATAAAGCCATCACTCCCCTCTCTTTATTTTAGGGTTAGACAAACAACAAAGTACCAACAGAAGAGAATATTGACCTGTGGGGTCCTTGAGGCGCTCTGAGCTTGTTAATTTTCTTGCAGACGTTTCATGACTCTACTAGGTAACATCATCAGTGCTAGAAGGCAGCAGGGTTTGCTCTCTGTTTACATACCGTGGCTTGCCCTGCCCTTGTTGGTGGGAGTGTTTAAGCAAAGTCTCAAATTTTCCTTTTTTTCCCCTGCCATGAAGAAGATGGACAAACCTGAAGCCACCTTGTTCTTCCCCAGCTAACAAGTGGCATCTTGCGCTTTAAAAGACTCAAAGGAACATGGATGTCCTCAAAACCCAAACTGGCTTTTACAATGTTCAGGGACACAGTTCTTTAACATTATCTCTCAGGATCAGTAGCAAGGTCTATGCCTCCTAAGCAAGGGCATCTCAACATCTCCAGTGAGCACAACACAGAGTGTGGAGAAGGATTGTGCCCGGATTGTTTTCAGGACACTGAGCCTCATCTGTGTACCACATCCGTGCACAAACTCTCCCTTATTCTCTCTAGGGCAGTTTGGATGTGCTGCTGATCCGCCAAAGTTGCAAAGCATCCATGCAGTCCTAATTAAACGTTGTTTTTAACGTTCACAAGCACACTGAAGGTCCTCTCTCCCCCTTGATGGGGCCTTCGTAGCAAAAAGCCACAATTACACCTCAGCTGCACATCCTGCCATCTCCTGTGTCTCTGTCTCTCTCCCACATCCTTGACGCAATCCTCAATTTTCGTCCCATGTCTGCCAAACCCAAACCCACAAAAACAAGACCATTCCTACACAAAGGCAAATTTTACTCACTAGCCCAGGGTCTCCATATCCCAAAGCGACAGGCCTGCTTATAAAGTCGGCGAGGAATTCTTAATTTTTTATCATGCAGGGATGATGAGAACTTTGGGGAAAGAGATGGATCTGAGCATTTAGAAGGCCCGGGAAGGGCCAAGTCACATTAGACGGAGGTCAAGAGGTGCTCCAGGCAGACGAGACCATCCTGCAGGACGAACAGTGACTAAAGAACCAGATGCTTTCCATAACAACCACAAAAACTGGTTTTCCTCCTCACAACTGCCTTTTTTATCAAACTAGGTTAGTTAGAAAAGATACATCCAGTCTCCTCACTTTTTTTCCCCATTTCATGTTTCCCAGAGCAAAAAGTCACTTGTAGGAACTCTTCTAAAAACCCACTGGTGAATTATATATGCCAAACCCAACCCCCCCCCCCAAGGAGCCCACACATTATGGAAGGCCAGAAGTAGCAGGGAGACGAACAGAGCATGCAAACTGGCAAACCGATTCATGCGCAACCTCCTGAGTTCCAAAGATAGGGACTGAATAAGGATTTCAACAAGGGCTTAAAAGCAGCAGCAGCAGCATCCCGACAAAACAGCAGAGGTGAACGCTGGCAGGCAGGAATCAGGGGAACCCCAGTCAGGTTCAAGGTTTTCTCCACCTTCTGGTATAAAAGCCAAGGAATTCTAGGAAAATGGCTGAATACCAGGATCACTGGATCTGCCCGTTCAAAATCCCAGGGAGCGATCACTGGAAGAGCATTAGCAATTATTTCTAGAAGAATTCTTTAGCCTTTAGTGGGGAACGCGTGAGATTAAAAAGCTGAATGCAACAAGGAACAAAGCCACAGAAGTCTCCCAGCGGGACTTGTGGAAGGATGTGGCTCTTTTGTTTCAGGAAACAAGTGACCTTTGTCAAATGGGGATTGATTGATTCACGAGGAAGGGGCGAGGAGAGGCAAAATGGTGACTTCGTCATCTCAAGGGTGGGCCCACGAGCAGCCTTGCTTATTCTCAAAAGTCAGTCCAGGACCCCGGGGGGGGGAGGGAGGGACGACGGAGTGAGCAGAGAAGGGGAGCACCTCTCACCTGGAGAAAGAGGACTCTGAAGGGCCACTGCTCTGCTGGCCCTCGTACTGCTGGACGAGCGCTCGGACGCTCCAGTGCGGCCGCTCAATCTCCTCGTGCGGGTTGCTGTTTCTGAAGAGAAGGACGGCAGCGTCAGGAGGAGGCCGAGAACGGCCCCGAAAGACGGATAAAAATCCTGCCTGACCCTCTGCATCCTTTCCTTGCCCTCTGGGGGTTGGTCCCAAAAAGGATCTTTCCAAAAGATGGTGGTTGCTAAGTGAATTGCGCCGGATTTTGTGACCCTTTTTCACTACGGTTGTTAAGTGAGTCACTGCAGTTGTAAGAGAATTACACGGTCGTTAAGCGAATCTGGCTTCCTTCCTCATCTTTCCGTGTCAGAAGTCGGCTGGGAAGGTGGGAAATGGTGATTAGGTGACCCCGGGATGCCACCATGACTGTAAATAACCTTTTTAGCACCCAAATTTTAATCATGCAACTGTGGGAATCCTGCCGCAATTGTAAGGATCCCTCACTTTTTTCAATGCCACCCCAACTTCACCGTTGTAAGTCGAGAACTGCTTGTAAATGAGGGTGAAGGTTCATTCGCCGAGCTTGTGGGCTGGTTTCCGAACGTTTCGTTACCAGGCTGGGTAACATCTTCAGCAGAGTTTAGGGGATGTCAGTGTCCGTGTTCCTCTGTTTATAAGGGCTTCAGGTGTGGGTGTCGAGTGAGGGTCTTGTCACGGGTCCTGTGATGGGCCAGGTGTAGGTGTGTCAATGACATTGACATCCCCTAATCTCCACTGAAGATGTTACCTAGCCTGGTAACGAAATTTTTGGAAACCAGCCCACAGGCTCGGAGAGCGAACCTTCACCCTCGCCCTCCACCCTCTGAGCTACAGATATTCGCCACGATGGCGACTTGTAAATATCAACAACCAGCAAAGAGTCGGCTGCCGTACCGAACAGATCACACACCTCAGGTGGTGCTGGAAGGCATCACGGCCCCCTCCCGAGATGTCCTGGCGCACCTCTGCCAGGGCAGCCACCGCCCCATGGACGGTGGCCACGGCCGAGCGAGGCCTGTGACAGGCCGGCAATGTTCCGCCTCCCCCCGAGTTCTTCTCCATGGCGCTGGATGGGGCGATTTTGCCGGAGCCGGGCTTGAAGTGAGCGGCCAACGCCAGGATCAGCCGCATGATGCATTTCAAATTCCCGTCAAGGATGTCTGGAAAACACAAACATGCCAAAATGGCGGTGACTGGCCCAGGGAGAGGAGTCTGAAGCTATCACTCAACCCGCGAAGGGTAGCCCAGCATCACTACAATCATAATGCCCCCTTAAACCATCTCTGTTGCTAAGTGAGACGGTCATTAAGTGAGTTTTCCTCCATTTTAGGACTCTTCTTGCCAGACTTGTTAAGTGAATCCCTGCAATTGTTAAGTTAGTCACACGGTTTGTGAAGTGAATCCGATTTCACTTTATAATAATAAAGTTGGAAGAGACCTTGGAGGTCATTTAGTCCAACCCCCTGCTCAAGCAGGAAACCCTATACCATTTCGCAAAATGTGATCGCGTGACCCGGGGGACATGGCAACCGTCATAAATGTGAGTCAGTTGCCAAGCGTCCAAATTTTGATAACATGACCACAGGGATGCTGCAACAGTTGTTAAGTGTGAAAAACAGTCATAAGTCCCTTTCTTCTGTGCCGTTGTAACTTTGAACGGTCAACTACATGAACTGTTGTAAAGTCGAGGACCGCCTGTACAGTCATGGAGAAACCTTTCAAGAGCTGCGTCCTGCTCGTTGTGGGCTGTACAGTGTCGCTTGTGAGAGCTCTGATGAGGCTGACACAGACATTCTCGCACACAACCTCATGAAGCAAGACACGCAATGGGTTGAAGGAACCGAAGGTCCCTCCGATGCTCATGAGATGTGCAGCACCATGAGATGTGCAGTCACACCCTTCCTGACTTTACCAACCCTATTGTGTCCACTTATGGCCCAAAACAGCCAGAACTTCAAATCTGCTAGCCCAAAAGCTCCTCATGAACTACAAGATGTCCACGGTCACGGTGGACAAAACACATGGCTTTGCCTTCCATCTCTCCCTCTCTTGCACCCATGTTCTACTATCCTCAGCAAGAGAAGCCCAAGGGCAAGGAGCATCCAGGCCCTTCAAGGTGAGTGGCTTACGGTTGAGGTTCACCTGTAGCCGAGGTCTGGTGCATGCGGATCTTCTTTGATGCCACAAATTGTAGGACCTTTTCCACGTTCTTCTTCATGGCCTGCTGGTTGGTGGGCGACACCTCCACACCACTGAGTTTCTCTCCAGCTGCAAAGGAGGAGGAGTAAAATTTTAAACTTGCAGGTGTGGAATGTGGCAGGGGGACAATGGTCAACCCCTTGACCTAGGATGCTGCTGTAAATATAAAATATATTTTGTTCTCTTCTTGGAGTATTAGAAAGCTAGTACACTACAGCGTTTCTCAAACTCGCAATTCTAAGCTGGGTGGACTTCAGCTCCCAGAATTCCCCTGAAATACATTTAAGTGAAATGTGAGCAATGCAAACAGGTGGGAGGTGAACAGTGATGTGTGCCCTTCTCTCCTGCACAGGTTCTCTGCTCCTCCCACTTAATCCAGATTAAATCCAGGAGGCTGGATTTGCAATGAGGCTGCTCACCTACAATCTCAATGAGAGAAGCAAGGACCACGCCATCGCGGAGGTCGTGTCTCAAATCTTGCACCGGTTGAACTTCTGGCTTCTTCTTTAGTTGTGAATTCACCCAGGTGATGTAGGACTGCAGCTGTTGCTGGAAAAGGAAAGGAAAGGAAAGGAAAGGAAAGGAAAGGAAAGAAGGAAAGGAAAGGAAAGGAAAGGAAAGAAGGAAAAAAGGAAAGGAAAGGAAAGGAAAGACACTGTGACTTCACTAAATCTATCCATCCATCCATCTACCTATCTGTCATCCATCACCTACCTACCTACCTACCTACCACAGTATTTCTCAGCCTTGGCAACTTTAAAACTTGTGGACTTCAAGTCCCAGAATTCCCCAGCCAGCCTCAATTCTGGGAATTGAAGTCCACCTATCTTAACCTTGCCAAGTTTGAAAAACACTGGGTTAGAGTCCATAAGCAGGCAAGCCAACAAAAGGCTACTCTGTGAAATCCATAGGACACATTTTACATCAAATAACTCTTTCTGACCCATCTCTAAATAAACCCTGTTTGTACCACGGTCCTCTTCCTGCTGACATTAATAATCTCCAAGCGAAAGGCTTTGATCCTCTGAACCGCTAATTTTAACAATTATTTGCACGGTGGAAAAATAAAGCCACATGTTTATTAAAATACCTTTTGTTTTCTCTTAGGCAAAGAAGTACAGGTAGTCCTCTACTTACGACCTCAATTGAGCCCAACAATTCTGTTGCTAAGCGAGACATTAAGTGAGATTTGCCCCATTTTACGACCTTCCTCGCCACAGTGGTTGTGAATCACTGCAGGTGTTAAGTTACTAACAAGGCTGTTAAGTGAATCTGACTTTGCTTGTCAGAAGGTCGCAAAAGGGGATCACATGACCCCGGGACATGTCAACCATCATAAATATGAGTCGGTTGCCAAGTGTCCGAATTTTGATCACATGACCACAGGGTTGTTGTGATGCTCATCACATCAGGTCTTGGCGTGGACTTTCATTAATGGTTTGAGACTCTTCAGAGAATTTCCCGCAGCCCTTTGCAGCTTATTATGAGCGCACAAAACTCTCCCACTTACCGTATTTTTGCCAGACTGAATGGAGATTTTAAATTCCTCCAAAACAAGGAAAAGAGGGTGGGAGAAACAGCTATCTGTCACTTGTGACAGCTGAAGGATTAACAAGCGACAGAAATAACAAGGCATTAAAATTTAATGCTGCAAAAGAACAGCAGAGTGGTGTTAAATGCACAGAAAGCAGAAAACTACATGTCAGGAAACCCACCCACCCACCCCCAAAAAAGAATTTCTGAGATGCAAAAAGGAAGAGAATTTAGGGCAATTGCTTCTTTATTTATAACTTCTCCCACACGTCTCAAATTGCGTTAATATAGCGGAAAAAGTGTTTCCCTATGCTCCTTAGAGCAGAATAAAAGGTTGGCTGGATTTTGATTGAAAATAAATTTATCTTGCATCCTGTAAGCATTGATGCTCTTTTCCCCTCCTGATTCTCCCACCACAACACGTTGAGGAAGAAATGGTACTGGCCTCACCTGGCTGCATTTTTTCAAAGATGCTCAAGATTGCTCAGGTTCTCACATAACAAAAGAGGAAAAATTTGTAGTTCAGTTTTCACAAATCACCTTTGCATCCCTATGCATAATGTGCAGATTTCACATTTATTTCCACGTTGCTCTGGAATAGAGGTTCCTCCCATAGCAAAAGTGGCAATGGACCTTAAACTATGACTTAGGCAACAAAAAAGTAACAGAATACAGAATAACAGAGCTGGAAGGGACCTTGGAGGTCTTCTAGTCCAACCACCTGCTCAAACAGGAGATCCTATACCATTCCTGACAAATGGCTGTCCAATCGCTTCTTAAATATCTCTACTGTTGGAGCACTCACAACTTCTGGAGGCAAGGAGTTCCACTGATTAATTGCTCTCACTGTCAGAAAGTTTCTCCTTAGTTCCAGGTTGCTTCTCTCCTTAATTAGTTTCCATCCATTGCTTCTTGTCCTGCCCTCTGGTGTTTTGGAGAATTGGTTGACTCCCCTCTTCTTTTTGGCAGCCTCTCAAATATTGGAACACGGCTATCATATCACCCCCCTAATCCTCCTCTTTGATAGGGTGGACATACCTATCTCCCGTAACTGTTCATTGTATGGTTTAGCCTCCCGCCCTCTGATCGTCTTGTTCTTCTCTGCACAATTTTTAGAGTGTCAATATCTTTTTTGTATCATGGTGATCAAAACTGAACACAGTATATTTGCCCTGTGGTCTTACCGGAGCTGTACAAAGAAGTACTAACACTTCACATGATCTTGATGCTATCCCTTGGCTGATGCAGCCTAAGACTGCATTGGCTTTTTGTTAGGTTACTAGGTGACAACATCAAGGCAAGTGACTAGTATATAGGCAGAGAACAAACCGCCCTTCCTTCTAGCACTGAAGATGTTACCTAGTTTGGTAGTGAAACGTCTACAAGAAATCAACTAAGCTCAGAGATCACTAAGGATCCCACAAAAATATTTAGAATGTATTGTACTCCATTACGTTTTTACAGAAAAGGATTAAGATAACATTCTGCTGGAGATGTAGTAAGAATACAGTAGTCCTGACTTATAACCCGTGGCTTAGTGACCGTTCAAAGTTACAACAGGTCCCCCAAAAGGTACTTATGACTCAGTTCTAAAATTCCAACAGCCGGGTGAAATAAATAAACAAATTTATACAAAATACAGTAGGTTAAAAAAGGACATTTTTGCAAGCAAATTAGAAATAAATATACGCACACTTAAATAACAATTACATTAGACACACACACACATATATATAGAATTGTCACTGTTATCTACTGTAACAATATACTTTGTGGGTTTTTTCTGTTGATTTTTTTCATTTCTTAAAGCACTTTGTGCATTTTTTTTTCTTTCTGAAATGTATGCATTTGCACTGCAATTATCTCTGTGTTTTGTTCTTTTTTCTGCTACTATTTAAAAAGAAAAAAAAAAAATCAATAAAAAATCCCTGCCGATTTCTGCCTTTTGTCTAAGAGCTTTAATTACTGAGATAGTCCCGTCTGCCAGCAAATCAGGTCAAATTTGCAAGCTTTTCATCTAAGGGTTTGCCTGTGAATGGAAATCTCTGCCTTGCATTTTTAATGAATTAGTTTAAGTTGCTTACTTCCTTGACATTTTTAATTACAGATTTCTTTTGTATATTAAACCACGACCAGATGTTCTATTCTGCTTTGGCTCTGCATGGAAATCACAGGAAATCGAGAAGGATGAAAGGGAAGAGGGACACCCATAATAGAGATTATTAATGAAGATAAGGAACATTATACGACTGGAGACCTTGGCAGACAACGAAAAGCGGAATCGTGTCAGTTTATGTCTAGCCTGGATCTCGTCTTTTTTTCTCTCCCTGGAGAAGATTTCTCTGCAGAACTAATCTGTAGCTTCTATCACTGAAAACTAAAACTTTGCCTATTGTTCTTTATGGTGGAGAACATGAACCTTCCAGAAGATCTTCTCTGCACAGCTGGTTTTTAGGATCTTATCAATACCCTTAGGCCAATATATGTCAGACATGAAAGACCAGGTCTACAAGTGAAGGTTCAATTAAACTGATTTATTGCTAACAACCTTCTCAACTCACCATCAGCATCTGGTTAGTTAGATAAGGGCCAGTGGCACACAAGTGGGATTGGGCTTAGTTCGTTTGTGGCTATGTAGAGATTCTAGGCTGATTCCTCTTTTCACTCCATCCCCGGGTCCCGTCATTCCTTCTCCTACAATATTTTAATTTTCCACTGTTAATGGTTTTAGGTGAAACCTGCCAACAATGCTATTCTTTTAAGTGTTCTAGCTTTCTTTTTTCATCTCTATGGTAGAGATGAAATTCTACATGCACAAGGCCGGTCATACGTTCCATATGCACCCTAATCCAAGCGGGTACAATGTGTTGCAGAAACAGCATCTCAAGAAAAAGGGTGCAGAGGAATGCAAGGACTTGTAGCCTATTGGATCTACTGCCAGCCTTTCTTTGCTCACGGCTTTTCCTCCTTTCACTTTGGACATCTTAGTCTCTATGGTAGACTCACAGCTATCCAACCTTGCATGGAAAACCATAGTAGGGCCTTAATGAGATTGGATCTGATAGTGAATCTATCCGCTCACTTACTCTATCATAAATTAATGCTTGAAGCTCCTCTTTAAGAGGGTGATGAATTCCCTTGCCTCTGATGGCTTTATCTCTTCTGTTGCCTCGAGCAATGCAAAGTTGGAGCTGCTTTAGTGCTACTACTGCTCCGGTCATTTTTCAAAGTTTCATGACAGTTTCTCAGCCAGTCTCGCAATCCCTTGCTCCTTCCCCATACTTACCTGCTTACTGGAAAAGGAAGGGAAGGGAATTTCCAATGCTTCCTGCCAGCTTTCCCTAAGGAAAGTCAATGGGGAAGCCAGCAGGAAGTCAGAAGTCACTCCTGCCCCATTGCTTTTTGGCCCGCCCATGATCATTCTGTTTCTCTGTATAGATAAGGATATACCGTAGCTCTGAAACAATGGCCCAATGGGGCACAGGTTGTCTGGTAATGTTTGGTTATAGGTCTACCTATTCTAAAGAAAAAGAACAAAGGAGAGCTGCAAAGATGCTCCCTTGAAGCATTCATGCTCCAATTCTTGCTCTGGTTCTCATGTTCCATGTGGCATCACATGTGGCTGTGGGGAGAACAGCAGGAATCCATCTCAGCTTCTTTCTTCATCAGCCACGTTTCTCCCTGCTCAACCAGACCACCTTGCACACCGCAGTGCCTAGCAACAGGTTCTGAAAATTTAAAAATAGCTGGCACATTTTCTCTCTGATTTTTCGCCCGTTTCCAAGGAGAGACAATCAGGGGGCAGGATTAAGTCAGGTTCAGCTGACGAATTCAGCAATTAACCTCTTGAAGCCGGCATAGATTAGGAATGGGGTTCTTGCATTCGCTTTAGGAAACTGGGTAGATTCTGAAGCATAAGTGTTGTCTTTTAAATGCACATATTTAACTCCACAAAACACTAAGAAAGGCTTTGTGTATTTAACCTCTATCCATCTGTGCCTGTGCTGTGTGAAGTCTGACTACAAAATATTTATTCATTGAATTAAACGTATTGGCTGCCAACTCTAATGGGCCAAGATATACGGTAGAACCTCAGTGCTCAACAAATTGAAATGTCGGAAAGCAGGACAACTTCATTTATTAAAAAGCCTCTCCTCCATGATAAATCTCATCTCATCAATCCCTTTCCATCCAGCTAGTTTTATAAATCTGAGAGGAGGGTGAGCTTTTAAAAGGTTTTGTTATCAACCAATTCATTTTCTGTCTTCAGAAGTATTTCATATTGGAAATTATTAAAAGGAGTTCTTTTTTTCAGAAATCTCAACCGATTCCATAACCTCAAGAACAGAAAAAAAATAAACAAAAAGGGCATTTAAGTGTCAGTTCAATCCCGTGTTTGTCATCCGGTGCTTCTTTTTCCTTCAACGAAAAGAAATAATTTCTTTCTCCTTCTCTGAATGTGCAAGTCACAAGATCATGATAAGTGCAATCAGCAGCTTCATAATTCAGCCTTCATCAAACTGGAAACTTCCATAAGATTATTAATTCTACTGTGTTCACATCTCTTCCCTTGAGCAGGGTTTTTCAGCCTTAGCAACTTTAAGACTTGTGGACTTCAACTCCCAGAATTCCCCACCCAGCAAGGAATTCTGGGCGTTGAAGTCCACACATCTTAAAGGATCTACATGCTGGCTGGGGAATTCTGGGAGTTGAAGTCCACAAGTCTTAAAGTTGCCACGGTTGGGCATGACCTAATGTGGAATTGCCTTCCTCATCCTGAAAAAGTGTTTTGGAGGTGCAAAACGAACCCCCTTCTAACAAGAAAAAAGACCCCCTTTCTCCTTGCCTCAATGACCCCCTGTGGTTGAACGAGGATGGGCCACCAAAAAGAAGGCAGGAAGACGTAGCAACAAAGGAAATTTCTCCACCAGCCTTCCAAGTTCAGCCGCGAATGGACTGCCTAATTCCCCAAGGCCCAAAAGCATTTTGGCCTGAATGAATGAAAACAAGATGGGAATTATTCGAGGAGCAGCCATATGTTCCTTGCCCTACAACCCACTTAAGCACTTTTTCCCATCACCGTGATTAATGGTGCCTTCTTACCAAGTCATACATTTCTAAGAGCAAACTAAATGGGCTGGAATACAACTGCATTATTGCTAAAAATGCATGACAAACTCCCACGAGTGTCCAGCAGCTGAAGAGAAGACGGACAGATATAACCTCACACCCCAGGGAGGTTCATGCTCTACCCAAGGAAAACTCCACCCTGGGCCAAAAGCTTTGAAGATCTGAGCTGATTTAAGGAACTAGCAGGAAGTCGGAGAACTTAAGGCACCGGAGCCTCAATTCCCCACAGGAAACATGCTCTGAAGGCTGGAATAGGCTACCCAGAACATCTTTATCCTATTTCCTACCCATATTTGAAGTTCTTAGAGAAAAGGAAGAAAAATTATTTTCAGACCAAGACGGACAAATGCTATGAAGTGAAGGATAAACATGTGGTGTCCAAGGTACAGAACCAACATACGTGGACTGGGCTGAAAAAAACCCCACTGAAACCTGCAAACAGGGGTTTATAAAGAGGTCCATTAGCTATCCTTAGTGTGAGTGAAAACAAAGTCAAGTGAAAGTTGGATCTCCTGCAGCCTCAACCTACATCACGAAGCAGAGTTTTAGACAATTTCTGGACTTCTCCTATCTTGCTGAGACTCCAAATTTTCTATATTTCTGGGAAAGACATGTTCCTGACATCAAACTATGATCCTTTGTTGCGGATAGACCATGCGATTCCACCTCAAAATATCTAGGAACTGGGCGGGAATTCCCTTCAGACAATCAGGCATGCAAACCTAGCATGGATTCCCAACCCCATCCAAAACTTGCTTTGGCCACCAACAAATAAGACAGCCACATCTTCACAAGACCAACCAGACTCAAGTTACTGACACAAATCAGTGAATAATATCAGTGGACCCGCTTATAGGGATTTCCCCCCCCCTAAGAAAGTTGCTTAAACAAAAGAAGACTTTAAGTATTATCAGTCCGAATCCAAACACTGAGGAGAACTTGCTCATTCTCTTATTACACCAGTTTTGTTTTCATTCTGTTTCCAAACATTAGGACTAAACCTCACTGCAAAATTTACAGTTCTGCCTCCCCATGCTCAGCAAACTAGGAATTATTTAAGTCAGTTTTCCTCAATCTTAGCCATTTTAAGATGTGTGGACTTCAACTCCCAGAACTCCCCAGCCAGCAAGGAATTTTGGGAGCTGAAGTCCACATCTCTCTTAAACACTGATTTAAATCTCATCAAAATGAATGATCCTTTGCAAAGCACCAGCAAAACTGCCCAGCTTTTCTACTCCAGCCCTCTAACCCCCCTCCCTTCAACGTCTCCCGCACCCCACATCTCCCCCACGCACCCCCAAGAGGAACTAAGCACCGCTGAGGATGAAGCCAACGCATCCTTTACCTCTGTGAAGCTCTCGTGCACAACATCCCACAGTTTTTCCCGGGCCAGGCAGGCAAGCATTTTTCACAATGCCCTCCCACCCGGAGCATGGAGTTCTTGGATCACACGGAGCAAGTCCTCCTGCCTTGGAGAAGACCCCCTTTTTCCTCCTTCCACCGGAGACAAAGCCGCACAGCTGATGGCAACCTCTCCCAGGATCCCTTAGGGACAGCCCTTTACTGCAAAGGGGATCCTGGACCCCAGGTCAAGGCTCGCACTGAGCACGCTCCAAGGAGAGCAGCCGCTTGGGAGATGCCTTCCCGATCTGTTTCCGCAGAACAGCTTCTTCTGCAAGTCCCAGGAACAGGACAGGAAAAACATCTGCAACATATTTCCAGAATATGCCGGCCTCTCTCCCTCTCCATCTGATGCAAGGAGGCTGTGAGCACTTAAAGGAAGGAGGGGAGGGTGTGGAGGGGGGCGGTCCAAAGCAGCTTGGCTAAAAAGGGAAATGCATTAAAAAAAGGAATTAAAAGAAGCCCAAAGGTTAACAGGACTTCCAACTTTGAAACTCTGGAAGAAAAAGCTGAAAGTCAGCCCAAGCAGCAAGTACGCCTGATTTATTTATAAACACAAACTTCAGAATGCCTTGCAGGAAGATCTCGATTAGTGAAGTTAATAAATCCCACAAAACGGTCGCATTGTTTGAATTTACACAATTCCAAGGGGCGCCCAATGGAAAACAAGATTCCAGCTTAGTGGAAATAGGCAATGAAAAGTTTTACGTGCATGTTTTTATACGGACATGAAGGAAATATTACAGTAAAAGGTAATTTAAAATGACGATTAACCAAGTCACAGAGTAGTTTCAGAAAGCTAAATGATGCAGGTTCCTCCCAACAATCTTTGGGTTGTGAATTGTATTGCTCTCTTAACTCTTTTCTGCGTATTTCTAGAGGTTTGTTTTTTTTTAACCCAGAGCTGAACAGAAGATCAGAGTGGAGATTATACAATAAATGTAACACCATGTAGAAAAGTATTGATTTCTTTGTCTGCACAAAAATGAGACAATAATCAAAGTGAAATATGGCAAGATCCAGGAAGTGGATGGTTAATGCAAGTTGCAATTAGTATTTCAGCCATGTTTGGAGCAATGAGTAAAAATGGGACCATGCAAACAAACTTTTGTTCTGCACAGTAAATGACTTTGCTTCTCTCTTCTTTTTTGATTTTTTTCTCTTTTTTTTTTTTACAATACAGAATAATAGAATTGGAAGGGACCTTGAAGGTCTTCTAGTCCAACCCCTTGTCCAAGCAAGAAACTTTATACCATTTCAGATAAGTGGCTGTCCAATCTCTTCTTCAAAGCATCCTTTTTTTTTAAACAAAAAACAATTTTTTAACCATTTAATGGGGAGTGGGGTCTCTCAGCACTGTTGAGAAAACAGATGGGGAATTATCAGGGTCAGCCCAGGAATAATCCTGTCTGCAGAGCCACTGAAGATGAAGGGTTAATCATTTCACCATGTGAGGCTGACTATACATTTCTTTTTTTTCGATCAGGCAACCCAAGGAAACATTTTTGTCTTTTCCTGTCTGAGCTACTCAGGGCAGCTATAAAGAAAGATTCTAAAGTCAAGCAGAGCTTGTTCATTAATAAGTTTCCATATACACCTTCCGAGAGAAGAAACTGCACAAAAATGGGATAAACGCTAATAAAATAGGGGAATTTGCAGGTTGGGGTTAACAAAACTCAAAATGAGGGTCTGGAATTGCAGAGTGGTTTTTTTTCCCACAGGCACCGCATGTGCAACGCATGTTGAAAAAGACTGGGGGTTCAGCTGCATTGTTGTAGCCACTATCTTGACATTTTAACCCCCTCACCCCAATGCCTCTCAGGTCATAACCAACACAATGGTTGTAGAACAGGTCAGCCATGTGACCAACCTAATTTTAGGATGTTTTGGTGTGCTTTATGACCATATACTGAAACAGATAGGTCTTAATTCTTTACCAGTCCATACTTATGTGTCTGAGTGCAGTCTGGACTTCGATCTCAGTGCACCAGGAATGAACATTTATACACAATCTTTTTACCATTTCTGAAGTTAGGATGCTTGCATGCAGCCACCTCCCTATATCGTATTACAAAAACGGATGTTTATTATTGTCTAGTCAAAATGCCCGCAAAACCCAACAATGAAACATTAACAACTGCAGCATGTCAAAAGTCCCCTCCTCATATAATCTCGGGAAAAGGGAGCCGTAGCTAATGAAACCAAATTGGACTGATTAGTGTAAGACACCAGGGAATTTTCAGTGCAAACAGGGGACAGCTGTCTCCAGTCCTTAGCACTGGGGGGGGGGGAGTTAGCTTTTAAAAACGGTTTTTTTTTTTTCATCATAAACTCTGAAATCCTTCGAGATTTCTGCTGAGATGGTTGCTGCCAGAACGAGCTGGCAGGATGAAATCCCTTCAACACAGTTTAAATGCTGAAAAAGACGCAAACAGGGCAGGGGAGGCAATATTGATGAGTTGACGTGTTTTAAGGTTTTACATTTAGGCTCAAAAGAAAATGGACTACAGACAGTTCTCAAGTTACGACAGTAATTGAGCCCCACAATTAGTCGGGAGTTATGATGGTCGTAAAGCAGGTGACCACATGACCAGACCCGATTTTATGACCTTTTTTGCAGCAATTGTTAAGCAAACACCACAGTTGTTAAGTAAACCCATTATCTGGCATGGGGCAGTTTTTGAAAGGCAAAAACATCCTTAAATCACAGTCGTGTGACTGCAGGGTGCTGCAAACGGGCTGTACATTGGGCTGCTTGCTGAGCATCCAAACTTCAGTCACTTGACCAGGGGAAGACCCAGATGTTATACTTTTCAAACCAGGTTATAATAACTAGCTTTAGGAGAGTCTGTCATAACTTTGAACGGTTGCTAAGCAACTGGCTGTAAATTGAGGACTGCCTGGGTCATTCCAGAACCGCGGTATATAAAACTTACTGCTGATTTGAGACACGCAGGCAGACGTCCCCCTCAAAAATAACATCCCTCGCTTATCTTCCCACGAAAAGCAGCCTTATCAAGATTTATATTCCAATTTTCCCCAAAGAGTTCGATTCCTTCAAATGGTTGTTTCCTCTGCCAGGCTGAGATTTCAAAGGGCTGAAGAGTCGAACCCCGAAATCTGAAGCTCGTCTTAAGAGGCGGAAGCAGAGAAATTGATCTCGAGGTTTGCTGAGCACAATATCCCTGGACGCCACTCTCTGCAAATGAAAATAGACTTTTTCCGGAGGGCTGGATCTGCCCCTGGGCTGCAAGGGGACAATAACGCCTTTCATTCATCTCCAGAAAATCATAATAAATGAGGTCACTGGAGCAAAGCTGCTCAGGGCAGCTTAGGAAAGAGATCTGCTATCAACAGGAATGGGCAGGGCGATAAAATAAATGGAAATATGACACCCCAGTCCTACTGTGAGACACACACATACACCCCGAAAAAACCCCTTCAATTTACGATCATAATTAGGACATTTCCACTGTTAACCAAGGCACTTTTTTTAGTGAGTTGCACCAACTTTTGATTCCAAATGTTATCCATCCCAAAAAGAAACTTCAAACGTTCAGCTGAAAGGACTTCTGTAAAGGCTGTAGCGACAGAGATACCGCTTAACCGAGCCACAAATAAGCAGAAATTAAGGAAAGCAAGCAGTGGTTTTACAGAAGCAGGGACCGCTTAGCTCCCTAAAATATAAAATCACAATTGGTTGATAATGACCTCTGCTGGTGAAATCTCATAAAATAAATCCTTCTGCCCCCAAATATCTTCTTTTGCCTGCTCAGACACAGCATGTGCGATGGGTATTTTCAGAGATCATTCCTAATTATTCTCTCTGCATATCTTAAAAACTAAAATGCATCATCCGATGGTAAGAATTTCAGAGCTGCCTTGTGAGACCGAACCGTATTTTGCTCCTAACCAATACCAGGCATTGGTTGCCCTCGTTATGAAGATAGAATACTTGGCACACGGGAGGCTCTTTTGGGCATCGCAAGGCACCAAGGACCCCAATCAGCTGGAGTCAAGGACCAAGGTGAGCCCTGGCTCTAATCTTATTTTTATTTTTCTTGACTTTATCATAATTTCTTTCTTCAATGGTTGCAAGCTACCCACAGTCGTTGAGATTTGGGTGGCATACAGGTTTAATCAATTATTATTCGTATTATCCTTCAAATCCTTCATGTATTAATTGTTGGAAGACTTACTGAAGTTTCCCTGGGCTGTGATGGATTACCAGCTCTTCCTTCCTCGGCTGGGGTCTCCATGCTGGCGCTTAGAAACCCGGACGAGCAGAGATGTCCATTTTCGGTCTTAAAGACGTCAAGCTGTCTGTGCCACCTGCGACAAATAAAAAGCAGGTGTGTGTAGAGCAGATGCTGCAGGAGAACAATGATAGTCTATGCTGGTAGAACAGGTCTGTGCTGGTAGGACAGGGTTTCCCAACTTGGCAACTTTAAGAGGTGTGGACTTCAACTCCCAGAATTCCCTGGTCCACACATGCTGGCCAGGGAATTCTGGGAGTTAAAGTCCACGTATCTTAAAGTCATCAAGGGTGGAAAACCCTGTAGTAGAACATCAGGAACAGTCTGAGAGAGCATCTCTTTAATACATTTGAGAAGGTGAAGTTGCCAGACTCCTTCAGGGATGCAAGCCGTCCTCAACTTACAATCATTGAAGTTGTAAGTTGAAAAAAGTGACATGCCCACTCCTCAGACTTACAATCATGGCTGCATCCCCGTGGTCATGTGATCAAAACTGGGGCACTTGGCAACCAGCATGTATTTATGTCAGATGCCTGAGTTACCCTGTGGTAAGATGGGTGGCCAATAAATTTTAATAATAATAATAATAATAATAATAATAATAATAATAATAATAATAATAATAATAATAATAATAATAATAATAATATATAAATTACCATTTGCGACCTTCCTAGCTGGCTTCCTAACAATCAAAGTCAATGGGAAAAGCTGATTAGCGTGATTCACTCAATTACAGTGATTCACT